ATCTAGTCCTGAGAAAGAAAATGAGTTTTTAGAATCAGCAAATCATCTTGGTCAAGTGCTTATCAAATCAATAGTTTTAAATTTTGGCTTATAAAAGGAGATATTTGTCATGCATTTAGGCATCTTGGTTTTCAGATCAAAATCATGCTCATGCTCTCTTTTTATTATAATGCTTAAGTTTTACTTTCATTAATATTTTGTTTATGTCTTTCATTTCCTTTCCTTTACTTGGTTAACTTTTATCTTATTTATGTTCTTATTTTGTTTATTTATATTTCTCTCTTTCATTATATTTAGCTAAGTTTATTATATCAAGGTGAAAATATTACACTAATGGTGTAAGAATAAGTATAGCGTAAACTTGACATGAACTTTAATGTTTAATTAATATTAATATTTTTTGTATTTGTTATCTTGTTCACCCTTAATACTTTGCTTGTTAAATAGTTAATCTAGATTTATGTTGTATAACATTTGATACAACAAATACTTGAAACTTTCATAGTTCAACCGTATGATGTAATAGACACTTGTGCTATAAATTATAATCTTGAATACCTAACAAAATTTACAGGTATTAGTATTATTCGAATAAAATAATTAATGTAATTATGTTAACCATTTATAATCTGGTTAGAACCTCTTATGTGTGTAGTTTTCAATTGACTAATAAGACTTTATACTATACTTTTTTGAAATACTATTAGTGGATTATCTAACCTTGATATTTATTTTTAGCATTGTTTGATCTTCACATTGATCTTCTATCTCAAAGTTCTCATCAACCTTTTCTTCTTCTTTTTTCTTTACTACTACTACTACTATTACTATTATTGTTGTTGTTATTGTATTGTTGTTGTTTATAATGTATATAATTAACTTTCTTATTATTTGATCCCAGTCTTGCCAGGTTATTTATTACTTTAATACTCCTGTACTTGGAAAAAGACATATATCTTTTGATCATTTCACATATTCTATTAAAAAAAAATTGTTTTAGGTGTTAAAATGTTATTTTTGGAGTGAGGGGTTGAATAGAAATAATGTTTATCTTTGAACATGTTGTGAAAAGTATATCAAGACTTATAAATATATTTTTTATTTAATTAATTTTTATTTTTTATGGTAATTATAGATTTTTTATGGTGTTTGAAATTAATTTATCATCATTCATAAAATATTTTTTGGATATTTTCAAGTGAAAATATTTTGAAAGTTAGATTTTTAAAGATAAAAAAAATAAACACTAACTTTTCAGCCACCTTAAGTTGTTGGAAAGTGAACCAGAAAAGATGTATCTCCTATATAAAAGAATTTAGGGGGCAGCAAAGTGTTGTTTGCCCATTGAAAAATAATCTCTTTAAATTAATTTATTAAAATAATATTTAAGCAATTATACAATTATACCATTGTTTTAAAGAAGACTAGGTTTTTTATGATGATATTATTAATTTTTTTATGAATAATTATAAATTAGCCTAATATATAGATTTTATTGAAATAATTTTTTTATTAAAATAAATGAGAATAAATTATTTTTTAAAAAATAATTTTCTTGTTAATGTTAAATTTTTTCATACATGTGTGTAATTATAATTGATTCATAGTTATTTAATTGAAACTCTGTTTTGCGATCATATTAAGATTCCACTTAAAAAAACAACACAATGCTTCTTATAAAAAAAAATGTTTTCATAAAAAAATGCATGAATAAATAAGCTATATTTTTCTTATTAAAAATATATGTTTTTTTCTTTTTAGTTCAAATCATTATGGTTATCCTGAATATTTTTTTTGAATAATATTTCTTTTTTATTCAATTAACTATATTACTGATAGAAAAGGTTTTTTTTTTTTTTGTGAAAATACAAAAATTACTAGTTTTTTTTTTGTGAAAATACAAAAATTACTTGAATTTGTTTTTAAATATTTTAACGAAATCGCTTTCGTAATTTTATATATGTTGTCTTTCATGTTAATATTTGTTTTTGTTACAATATAATTAAAAAAAATCAAATAAATCCTCACAGCATTGTTTGCGAAGTATCATTGGTAATTCTCAAATTCCTTTGGTTAGGACTCTTATGGCAACCTTTCAACTGGTTCCAGTCAATGCAACAAGAAAAATTATAAACAGGGACGGATACAAGATCTCATCTGAGGTTGTGTTTGGCGCGGGAGTAAATAAATGATCAAGGAAACTTGGGTGGTGGAATTAGCCACTTGTTTCCATTGATGTAAGTCATGCTCAGGAAGGGTTTTGCTTCTGCTTTAGATAATGACTTCGCATATGAAACTCGGCCGAAGGAGCTAGAGCCTGGTCCAGCGCACTTGTACTCTCCATAATATACAGTCCTGATTCATCAAAAACATTAATATATTAATTTAAAATCTGAAAAAGAGGGAAAAGATGCTGATGCGTACCCTTCACGCTCAGGGAACTTCCAGGTGGACCATCCTTCATCGTTAATCAGATGGCCCATGTAAGTGTAAGCGAAGACAACTCTTGGTCTCTGCTTCCATGCACGGCCGAGGTAAGTGTCGTTGCCGAAACCAGTTAAGTTGCAATGGATGAAGGTGAATCCACTGTCTTCGGTGACATGTTCCCGCGCTTGAGCTGTGATCACCCCAGTACCTTCCGCTACAGAAGCAATAGTTGTGTTCTGTATAATTAATTCATCGACACCCCCAATTAGTAACCATTAAACAAAAATCTAAAAGGAAATGTTCTTTCACTGTAATGGGAATTTGAAAATGACGTGTGGGATTTTGGCTATTTCTAAAAGGAAATGAATGCTCTTTCAGAAATGCCAATTTGGAAATTGTGGTGTTGGGGACTGAGTTTCGATGGTGAAATGGCAGCTACACTGTTGGATTTTGCACATTCTCAGGCTGAATATCAAACTGTGAAGAGTTGTCTTGAAATTTTAATCAGGCTTGAGATTTTTGTCGAAGTTTGATGGGATTTTAGTTTGTTGTGACGTCGTCAAGAGAGTAATTAAAGGAACAGGGAGTACCAAGTAGAGGGATTTTCCGTTTCCAAAAATGAAGTCAACAGTTCCACGGACATAGCAGTCCTTGAAGAAATGCCGGCCTCTATCATCACATAAAGTGTCCTGAAACCCAATGAACTTGCAGTTATGAAACGCTGCTTTATCTCCAGATATTCTCATGGCCACTGCCTGCCCACCAGTTCTATTGACATTTGGCATTGGGGCCGAATTCTACAAGCAATAATAAGTAGAATTAATAAAAGATATCACACACACACATATATAAGATGGTAGCCATCCGTTAAAACAACCATGGCATGCTGGTGGCTACCGATAAATCCCTTAAGACAAATTAAAGAAAGGACAAGTAACGAGTATTTAAACTATTGAAATGAGTATTTTACTATATAATATACAGTTTTTTCGAGTTTTGGATGTTTGATTTACATTTTCAAGGTAACCCTACCTCAATACTAGCGCTTTTCTTCTCTTTCTTTTTCTGGGATATGATTATTCGTACAGAAAAACCTAATTAGTGCTCCACTCTCCACCATTATGAAGGCCAAAATGTTTATGCATGGCAACCATTTAATAGGAAGGAAAGAAAATGAATTACCACAAATGCCACATTGACGGCCATGAAGTAATCACTCTCTACGGCCACGGTTGCGCTATAGATCGTTCCATACTGGGAAGCGGTGCCATTGAACACAATTCTTGGTATATCCATCGGATCCCCATAAAATGTAACAAACGGCTTATTGCATTTAATTGTGATTTTCTCCCAATACTCACCCCCACCAATCTGAATAATTATTCTTCGCTTGTTGTCCTTTTGAATGGTCTCCAGGGCATCAGAAATAGTTGTAAAATCGGCGAAACCATCCTTCGCAACCCTTATCAACCTCAGCCTGTCCTCGGCAGAGGCCAAAAGCTCATCCAAAACAATGCGTGGAATCCCTTTGGAGTCATTGGATTTTCGATCATTAAAGTCATTGATGTTCTTAGCAACCCATGCTTTTACTTTTGAGATGTCTGCAGGGACGAGTTTGGTCGTGGAGATTGCTGTGGGAATGATTTGGATAGCTTGTAATGTGATCAAAAGTAATGCAAAAGAAGAGAACGATAGTTTCATTTCAAGACTTATGATTTGATACTACAATGCTACATGTATGGTTTCTGTTTTAGATAAACTTGTGGTTCATCTCGGTTATGATAAAGCTTGCCTCGGAGGTCATGGGTTTCTTAGATGTCCATGATCGGAGGAGAACTATCAGGAATGCTTATGTGTTTGCTGGGGATGAAGATGTCTTTGGAATTTTGAGAATATTTTTTGTGAATGTTCTTGATGATTTATTGCATTGCCTAAAATAGATTTTTGGCTTTAGACATGCTTCCAAAATTAGCACGAACAATTCTAGTCATCAAGAGGTTAATTAGGTCATGCTCATTCAATAGCCGATTGGTCGGCAAATATAGCACTTGACAATATGCTGGGTCTGCAAACTTTGGAGGACCTCCATCATGCTCCCTTAATTTGTTTTTTGTTTTTTTTGTCGATATTTGAGGGGTTCAATTCTGATGTTTAGAACTGTCTCTATTTCCCTCTTTGTACCGGGGAAAAATGGAGTATTTTCAAGATGGCCTGCCTAATCCGGGTTACATGAAAATTAATGAATAGGCCCTTGCTCATTGCTGGTACAAGGATATTAATGATCATGCTTGTTTGTCTAACTAATTAATATGCATTTAATATTTATGATTTGCATGTTCTATATTCTTGTATACATTTTTGTTTATATAATTATTTTTAATGTCGCATTTTAGACATTAGTTATCTTTATTAATCTCATGCTTCATTTGTTGAATTAAATATTGGTTTACACTAGTTAGCATATGAGGAATTAATTGTATCCTAATGGGTTTTGCCTTGGCTTCATACTTACGAGAACTTAAACTCCTGTTAAAGTTTTACAAATTACGATTGGTAGCCGTTATGGATTTTTCTAGTCTATACTTTTTTGCACTTCATGATCATTAGGACAACATGTTAAGGTTCGCTTCCCTAAGAGATGAAGGACCCCTTTGATATCAATAGGTTAATTAACCTTCCCTCGTATAATGACTAGAACTATTCTCTAAGTTGTCTTCCCGTGATATCATTACATGAACATTAATATTAACATTAACATTTGCTTATTTTAGAAATGGGTGACAAAAAAAACATAAAATATATCCATGTTTAATTCCAGCAAAAGTTTGAATCCTTATAAGCATAAAAGAGGGATTGTTTAAGCCATGGATTCATTGGTGAATTGCCTGAATTGAAGTGCATACTCTTCTTTAACAAGATTGAAAAACTCTAAATGTGTTGGGAAAAATTAGACTTCTATAAGAAACATGTATTCTGACAAAAGAATGAAAATTTGATGGAAGTATTAAAGATATCCTTTAAAAAATAAGTCATGATAGTTATGATTTAGTTTTAGGATCCATTATTCATATGTTTTTTTCTTGGGATAGTTGACAGGATACCTACCATTGAAGAATATCAATAGTTATTACAAATACCCCAATTTACATATATTGTTTGTTACTATCATCAGTGTAACTAAAGTTTTTAAAAGATTATAAAGCATTTAGCTGTGGATGAAAATATTAGGGTAAATCCCACTCATGTCCACAGTCCACATGTTTTATTAGGAAAAGTTGGATGAACAATTATCCCATCATGTATGTATTATAAATGTATTTAATTTTTTTATTTGAACATCAATTATTTAGTTTTGATTGATTATCTAATATATTTTTTGTTTATTATGATACATTATATAAATGTTATATATGAAGGACTTAATATTTTTATCTTCGACTGTATGTCGTGAGGGATTTGACATTTGATTAATACAAGCCCCGTTGTAATGTTTTAACATTGTTGAAATGCATTATCTAGATATGGTAATGCATCAGTTTAGACTATCTTAGTATATTTCAGATTATGTTGATATCATAAATGAGCTACATAGTATTAGTTGTCAGGGTAAGCGTATGGGAAACTGGTTGGTAAATCATGCATCTTACATGGATCTCTTGGATGCTAGGACGGATTGTGTTTTATAGAAGAGGCATCCGACAATTAATATAGATACCTACATGACATGATATTTATCAATTACACATCATTTTATTACATTGACCTGGTAATGTTTATTGAGATGTCCATAAAATTCAATGCACTATACCTAGATATAATTGATTGGTATGCAATATTATTTTATATTTATTGAATACTGGATTAATTTTATCATGGATGATGACTACTAATTGGTTTTTAATATATATATATATATATATAGATTAATTACTTTGTACCAGAAGCTTAGAAAACAGTAACGACTATTCGTGAAGATTGATAAAACAAGACATATTGTGGCCAACACTATATTCAATTTATATAGTGGTAGACTTTAAAAAGTTGGGAAGGTAGGACATCTTGAAGTGACATTAATGGAAAATAAGGTTTCTTAATGTTAAAGTGTTGGAGATGTTAGTTCATCCACGAGCATCCCAGCCTCGTCGACCCAGGTTTATTCACAAGTTGGGATGTTATTGGTTCTCCTCACATATAGATATTATAGATTCATCCTCGAGTTAGACGAGCTGGGGTAATACTTCAGACCCATTCATGAGTGCTTCAAACCCTTCTATGAGCTGATGAGATTATTATATATAGTTATATGTTATTATATATTATGAGAATTATAAATAATTATATAATTAGTTTAATTTTTAATAAAACTGGTTATTTGTATGAATTATTGTTTTTATTTATTATAAAGTTGATGTCGAAATAAAATAATATTTATGTTATAAAAGTCGTAAATACCATCTACAATACATGAGTTGCAATTAATAATTATGACTTGCATGTTATATAATTTTGCAGATAACATCAGCCATTTACATATCACATATGCTAATTATTACATATGTTAATTATGGTATTTTAACTGTGATAAATTTCTTAGTAATTTTACTATTTAAAAAAAATTAAATTTGTTAAAATACCAAAACACTTGCTAAAGTCGTTAGCCGCCTTTTAAGACACACACAAGACACGCATTGTTCCGCTTGTTTTTCTCTTGTCCCAAAAAGTTGTTGAAAAACTCACAGTTCTTTTCTTTTTTTTTAGAAATAGCATAACTTAAAGAACGAGGGAAAAAATAAAATAAAATAGTGTCTAGTCTTTTAGGCTGTGCCGTTGCCAAGCGCGACCTCGAAAAAAAAAAAACAATTGCTTTGGGAGCAGCAGCTTCCAGGGATCCCTCCAAAGTCATGCCTGAAGAAGCAACAGGACGAGGAGAAAGAAGCTACCAAATGAACAGTGGCATTGGTTCTTTGAGCAAGTAAAGTATGCCTACAAATTCAGGTCCAGGCTGGAAATCAAAAGCTAGTTGATGACTTCTCATGGAAGGGGTCTAAGCCCTAAGAACAAGAGGGCAAAATGTTCAAGTTTCTTAAATAGTTGTAGCCTTGTAGAATATTATCGAAATCGTACTTTTCATTACATTTTGAAACATGGGAGACGAAGACAATAGTTTATAATCATGTTTCTCTGAAAATATTCTTAAAAAAAATAAAAAAATTAGCATAGCCTAGGAAATTATATAGGTTGTTGTGATATTTAGCACTGCGTTTTTCTGTTTGGAACAGCACAGTTTATAAATTGTATCGTTAAGTTAAGCTTTTGAAAATAAGTACTCTTAATTTATAAAAAATCATACTAGTTTTTCGAAAAAAAACACTCCAACCCGCGAGGTGTTTCGTGTATTGCTAGGTTCAGAGAGGTGGATCATATCCTTGCTGCTTGCTATCATGTCGGGCTGCTAATCATGGAAACATGTGCTTGCTTGAGATACAGAGAAACAGAGGCGCAGACCATTGAATAAATTATTCAAGGGAGGTGGTTCCTCAGAAATAAACTACAAATTTGTTCACGAGGAAGACACAGACACCTCATCCATGAGACTGAAGAGAGAGCCATAAAAAAATGGTTAGAATATTGAAAGAACTGTACCCATATTGAGTATTATCTCACATGGCCTTGAATTATATATCAGGGGCAATTGTTTGATGCCCTGCGTTCAAATGGCATCCACAGCACTACTTTGTTTACAAATGTAATGTAATAAACAATACCAAATGTAGGCAAAGACAACATCTCATTAACGTTACTGGAAAAACATCGTAACTGCATCTTTTTTTTTAGATTAACGTGGGTGTCTGTAACTGCATCTTTTTTTTTTTAATATTAATGTGGGTATCCGGATCAGCTTGCGTGCACCACGACTAATCTCACAGGTCCTAAAGTTAACGACCATGTAAGCCTTTAGTGGCCATTATATAAGCAACCAAGGACTCGAACTTGAGACTACAGAGGGAGCAAACCCCTTAGTCCTAAGTCTTTACCACTTAACCACCATCTAGATGGTTTTGTAACTGCATCTTTAAGGTTACGATAGATTGGAGCAATGGAATAATATTTTTTTTTCTTTTAGAATTAAAAACTTAAACTTAGCCATTGAGGGTATTAAAATACTTTTATATAGGGTGTTAGTTATTATCCAATTGAAATAGATAAATAATTCATTTGTTTTAAAGCATAGTAAAAAGATCAAAATGCCTTTACAAGTAAAATTTTCAATGCTAAGGTAAATGGAAATTTTGGTACTCTCAATATAGTTTTTCATTATTATCATAAGGGGTAATTTTATACTTGAATAAATATAAAAATTAATAAAAAAATTTAAAATACAGTAAAATAACTAAAATATTATTAGAAGTTAAACTTGAAAGGTTTTTTTTTAACTATTTCACCATGATTTTTTGTCTACGTCGGGCTTTATATATATATATATATATATATATATAAAACAAAAAAAATCAAGCATGTGTATAACACTCGAAGACATATGGGAGACATGCTAGAGCAATATATATAGGTGGTAATAGTTTGATTTGACGAAGATAAGCTTTTTTTTATCTTTTTTTATTTATTTATTTTTCCCAAACATTATAACTTGATTTTTTTTGTTGTTAGTATTTTAACTTAAGTTTTTAATCTTTTTGTTTCTAGTTTTTTTATTGATTCCTTTATAAAAGATCTATTTGCTTTTAAAATTTAATATGGATTTTAAAAAAAAATTATAATTTTATAATTTTTTTATCAGATTATCTCAATCTTATAATTTAAATTATAAATTTAAAATTACAAATTTTTCATACTAACCTCTTAATAAATGAAAATACAGTTTTTTATTTTTTTTTTCTTCTATATTTAATGTGTTGTGTATATTTGAAAAGAATACGGCGAATGGAATACGAGAAGCTCTTAATTGAATGGCAAGAGGCATAAACTTGGCCTAAGAAGCCTCCGAGAGTAGGAATTCCCTTTTATAATTCTCTCGGATGTTACACTAGGGTAACCATTTATAGAGCAAAAACAATTACTTCTAAACATAAGATTATGACAAATTGTAGTGAATGTGGACCTTCATGAGATATATAGCAATTATTAGTTATGAAATTTTGCTTAACAAACAAGTCTGTCTTGTATCCCATACAAAACATAAGATCACATCCCAACACACACAGAACAGACCGGTAAAAGCTTGATGTCCCTGCCCATGAAATTCAAAAACACGCCTGCAAATCTAACTAAAATTTCCTAATTTATTTTTTATTTTTTATTTTTTTTTGTCAATAAAAAATATATCTGCGAGAACCTGCTTTACATCCAAAGTAAGTCGTAAAATCTGGACCAAATAGACCAGTGCGATTACTCTTCAATAGCTAAAGCACCTTCAGCTGCAATATCACCTAGGAATCATCAGTGATGGAGGTGACCATACTGAAGACAAGCCATTCATGCATCACGATTTTTAACTTAAAATGAATAAATACCCTTACCTGACCCTTCATCATCGTGGTCTTTTGGATGGCTCTCCATGCACTTCAGGAGAAATTTAAAGGTCTCAATCTCACATGGGATTGTAAGCGCACCAGTATGATCAAACCCAAACTCCTCTTCAACCTTTTCCAGCAAAACCTTGAACAGGGAGTGGCTAAGGTAGCTAGTCGGGATGATAAACCTCCGAAGCTCTGGTCCAACGTAAACCGCCAGGTACCCTTTGGGCACGTCAGCTGGCGGTTCTGGGCTGTGGCAACTGTCCTCGTCTGAATCGCAACACTTAACACTGTTCAGCCTCTTATTAACAACTGGTGGAATGCCATTGGAGGGATGACCAGAGGGAGGGCTGGTTTCCTTTGAGCCAATTGTTACAGATTGCCACTTGTGGAGAATTTCCTTTAGCCTAACAATCTGCCGAATTCCAGTCAACTTGCTGCTACTATTGTCATCCATTTCTAAATATTTACCACTAACAGTGAAAAATATCCCAGAACTGAACTCAGAGTGTTTGATTGCAGACGTGCAAGTCGCATCAGATGATCTTCCACTGCATTTCCAAGCATAAAACATACAAACGTAGATAAAAAGTCATAAACAAGGCGAAAAGTTCATCGACTACCATGCCAATTCTCATGTACAAAGAATTACCAGCATCACAAGGATAATTGGTAAAGTGCTCAAAATTGTGATTAACTAGACAATCAAAGTTGATGATCAGGTCAATTTCTAGTGTACAAAGTGCTATCCATGTTATAATAGCATGAGTTTTAGAACTAGAAACAAGAGATTAGCTGGCGATCTAATGCTTGCCAATCTTTTAGGAACAAGAATTTCTTGAGAGCCAGGCAGGAGCATGGAACAGAACCAAGGCTCTTACAGGTGAAAGCAAGAATTGAACAACCACAACACTACTTCCCATCATACCTCCCTCCGAATATACATGGCAGTACTCTTACCTCCCTCAGGCGATCCAATTTCTTTGTATCACTCTTACAGAATAAGAACTTGGAATAAACATCATACAGATCCTAATTAAAAGTGCTTTGGTTTGAAAACAACAACACAAAATTAAACAATTAATATATTAATTTAATGATATAGATTACAGAGCCTAAAGGGTGATTTGGGAACACAAAGATCTGGTTTTCCTTCACAAATGCTAATTAAATTAAAACATGAAATGTTCGTCAACTAGCTGGAGGGTAAAATCTGTCAGATTTCTTTATTCTGAAAATCTTACCAGAGAAGATTTTAGAGCAGGCCAAAGATTCCTATGGTTTCTGAAACTGCAACGAGAGGAAAACTAAAAGATGATTTCGACCACTGCTTCGAACTATAGTGCGAAAACATAGTTATGTTCTAACTATACAAATTAAATAGAAAGAGAAAGAGGCCTGATTATAGCGTGATAAGTGAAACATACAATCTGATCTGTTTATATTATTAAACTGTAGTAATTTAATTACTCGCACGTCTGTCCTTCAAAAAGAAATAATCATCCAATAGATAATAAAAGATAATAATGGGAAGATCTGTACGATGTTTATACAGGCGATAGATCTAAAAGATAACGCATAACATCATCAAGGGTTGTGATCTTACCCTATCAAAGGTAGAAATTGAAAATAATAATTTCGAAAATCAAAACCACCATGAATTGAATATCTCTGCAACAGGCACAACAATCTCAACTATGGGACCCATCTAGTGCTGGGGCAAAAATTTCAACTCCTCGCATAAATTGCATGATTATTTGGCATTCATAAAAATGTTCACCGTGACTGGCATTCATTCCACTTGGCTACCATTAAAAATCTTTTACTATTACTTGGGAAAATTCTCAAGAATTAATTTAATAAACAAAAAACAATCTTCGCCTCCATCATTAAACATGCCAATTCTGTATATTTTCCCAACCACAATTGTCACAGCTATGAGCTATCAACATAAGATCTGTAGGTAAAACAAAAATCTCTCTTTCAAATAAAGATTTCAACTTTCATATCATGACCCTTATCATCTTAAGCCCCATGAATATAAACAAATAATTAAAAAAAAAAAAGTCATAGAGAAATAAAAACAGAGATCCCTGAAGATTCACATAAATGAAAACGAAGAAAAGAGAGATATCATCAACTTTTGGATTAAAGAAATAATGTTTTGCATGGAAAGCCATTAGATTATATGTAAAAACGTACCCGGACGAGAAATCAAATGCTGCGAAAAGGGAGCAGAAACGCCATAATTGGAGGTTTCAGGAGCTGGGAAAGAACTCAGAGCGACCAAGAGAGAGATTTTCTCCTTCTAAAAAAGAGGGGTAAAAAAGGAAGGGCAGGCTCTCTCTCTCCTTTTTTTATATAACTATCAATCAGTATCCTATATTTATCTATGAAATCCCAAAGCAAGTGAATATTTGAGAATCAAAGTTTTTATTTTTTACATAATGTTAACAAGGCAGGAAATTTTTCGTGGCAGCACCGCTGGTTTCGCTTCAGTCTGTTATGATTATAGAAAACAAACAAAAAAAGGGAAATCCAATATGGAAAGGAACAGAGATCTGCAATGCAATGCAATGCAAACGAGGAAAGGAAAGAATGGATCGGATGGAGATTGTGTAGACCAGATACAAATGGTGACAGCCAGTTTGCTCCGCTTTGCTTTGCTCAAAATCCTAATGCAGTTGTGCACTTTATGTTGGGTACACGTGATCACCTGATTCTCAGTATTTGAGTTGGTGGGTCCTCCAAACACTTTCTTGTGGACCATGCCCTCCTCTGTTTTTATTTTCCCCCCTTAACTTGAATAAAATAAACTTTACAGCATTTAAGTCCTTTCCTTTTTAAAATGAAAAACGTTATCAAAAAATTATTGTTTACCATATAAATATTTATTGGGATATCCATAGATAATCCACTTAACGATTGTTGTGTATATAATATAGATATGTTGATCTGATGATTAATAAATCAATTATTACCATGTCATGCTAATGTATTTGAAAATATATCAATTGACATATTACCTATCAAC